GTGGAACGAAAAAATCCTTGAGATTTTTAAGTTGGCGATTGTTAGGTCTGGCCACGGCTAACTGCGTTCTTTGAATAATCCACTATTCGATCCTTGATCGATGGTGTTTTCTTTGCCTGATAAATGCTAATGAATCTTCGAGAGAGCATTTATTAATGCTCGTTGTGCGCAATAGATGCGTGGGGAATTAACTTCCAACTTCGAAATTCGATTCTGGTGTTTCGATATTTCAAGGTATCATTTCAACACGTACATTATACGCCATATAGTATACACATATTAACGATATCGTTTTCTAATTATATATAAACGAGAATCGTCGTCCCGAATTTTATTTTAAAAATTCCACTCGTTATGCTCGACAAAATTATCGTTGATAATTTGCTTGTTCGTTTATTTTCAAAATTCATTTAATTTATCCTGAAATTTTAAATTCAATGAATCGCGATAATCGAAAAAATGTGTAGGATAGAGAAAAAGTTTTTGGTAGATAGGAAGGCGGGCTATTTTGCAATTAAAGAGAACTGAACATAAGATTCGAAGAACCGTTCGATGTGAAACGGCTGAAAGAAATCGTTGAGCGCTATTTATACATACCGTCTGACGTGGTCTAATTACCGATTTCCGTCTCTGTTCTCTTGGTCAAGAGACCAAATTAAATTGTGGTCGATCTTTCAATACCAACAATAATGCCAATATAAACGTTGCATACACGTATAAGATCACACATAGAACGAAACGAGCTTTGCATTGGAAAACTGAAAAAATATTTCTTTCATCGATCTTTAAATCTCCACTATACACAGTTTTTATTCTAATTTTTGAATGAGCACGAATTTTTCCGAATTGAAGTTTAATTTTATTAAATTATTTTTTACCAAAGATATTTTCATTCGTCGAACTTTCTTCGTAACTCGAACGGTTTTGAACTATTCTTCAATTAAGATGAAAGAAACTTTCTAGGTCCAAATGATATATTCGAATGAAAATGTCAAATACGTCGTATATCATAGATAAGAGTTGTTCGGCGATCAAGTATCATCATTGAAATATTCTCATTCAAAATACTTCCTTCATCGATCGCATTAAAAACACTTTCGTGATTCATTCTGTAAATTACACCATATAATCCAACCATATCGAGCAACGTGATCATTAACCTCCGACGAGGTTGAACATACTACGCTACACTGCTCGAGAACATACTGTTCCCATAAGTTTCGTCGTTCGAATTTATAAACGACGAAAATTCAAAACTCTATCCCCTCTTTGAAGTTGGAAACCATGAGAAAAAGTATTCGACGCTTCGATAAAAATAACAGTTAAGATTGTTTCTCACTTTCAAACGAGATCCTTCACATTGAATTGAGGGCCGCGGTGTGGTCCCAGACGTGGCAGCCCTTGAGCTCTAATTTACGACACCCAGCCACGGAGATCGAGAACAGAATATAAAGAAAAAAAAAAAAAAAAAAGAATCGAGCAAGTCGAGAAATCATCCACGATGAGAGGAAGGAATATCTTGCACTGGGAAACCGTTGATCGTCTTGCATCGGTCGACAAAAGTTGTTTTAGGCGTAACGAGATGATATTAAAAAAAAAAAATCGATTTTTTTTTCTTTTTTGAATTCTTGAATTTTCGAATCTTCGAGTTTCTTTAACTTTTCGGTTTTTTTTTTGTAATTTTTCGATTCCTGAAATTTCAGTTTTCCCATTAAATTTTCCATTCTCCAAATTATCAAATTCTCTACGTGACCAACATTTAAATTCTCCAATTTTTTTTACCAATTTTCGAGCGTATCGAAACTATTGGCAAAGATTAAAAAGAAAAGATTTCTCTTTCACTTCCTCGTTTTCAACATTTCCATATAAATAATTTCTGGCGATCACAATTTCTTGTTCATTCGGTTAACGGCAAGAAAGAGAGGAAGAAGAAGAAGAAGAAGAAGAAAAAAAGTATCTCCCTCCCCCTCCCCTCCCCTCCCGGATCCACCTCTTCGAGGAGGTTCTTCGATGATTTTCAGCTCAATCACGCGTGGCTTAAGTCAATTATTTCCGAATTAACGCGGCTGCTCGATCCAATCAGGGACGCGTCGATTAATCCTTCTCCTCGCTTCCTCCCTTCTTCCTTTCCCGAAGATACGATCGGAAATTTATTTGCGCGGTGGTCTCCGTGTCGCGCGATAAGAGAACGACGCACCGCGTCGTAAATGTTTAACGCGACACGAATCGGTTTCACGGTGATTCGCACGGTTAAATTGCTCGACACGGGAGAAATCATCTCCCGTGCCGGTGACCTCATCGTGGAAATCATTCTCTCCCGTCTCTGACCGTGTCTAAATGTTTTCCCTCGTCGTCGTTTCCTTTGTTTTCTCGACTCTTTTCCCCTTTTTTTTTTTTCTTTTCTTTTCTTTTCTTTTCTTCCTTTATTTCCTTTTTCCCCCTCTTTTCTCCCCTCCTTCCCTCCCTTC